ACCTATCTATTTTCATTTGTGGGTTCTCTGCGAAAACAATTGCGAAATTATCAGAATTAATCACTTTGGGTCGAACGACATCTTCCACATTTTTATCAGATTAGGGGTTTAAAGGTTCAGTTTTAAATCGGTCATTGCCATCTTTGCATGGAGGTATAAATTAAATTACGCTTACAGTCACTTTAAAGCTAATTTCTACCTTAGAGTCAATTCCTTCTCCACTGCTGCAAGGTTATTCTGTAGAAGACGTTCCTTCTCTTCTAGTTTACGCACTACTTGATTCTGGGCCTCAACCTTAACCATACATTCATGTATTAAATAAAAAAATAAAAAAATAAAAAATCAACAGTCATTCCGTGGAAATCAAGGTCGAGTCAGATTTAAGACGGAAATTGATGCGCCCCTTGATTAATGACACAAGTCAAGGGCTAGGTCAATAACCGAGGCCAAATGACCTCGGCCAATGACCTCAGCCAATGACCGAGGTTAATTCCCGACTGCACTATATAGCCCATCTCGGTACTAGCCCAAGTTATGTCTGAAATGATGTTAGGAGGCCTTTAGAATATTAATCAAAAAAAAAAATTAATTAAGTGGAAGCAGTTAACTATTGTTTCGACCACAGACTATATATATATTTACAGACTGTTAATCAGCTTCCACTGGCTGGGCTAAGTAGGCCTAAAGTCGAACCGGCACGACAGGCTATATCCTTACAAACGGGTCATGACTGCAATCTAACCGCCACTTGTTTCAGCATATAATACCCATTCAGGGTTTTAGTTTAAACATAAAACATAACATTTATGATTTTTGAAGGTTTTTATTTCGTTTTCAACGGATCCTTGAATATAGATGTCTGCTTTTTGGTCGTGTACTCCAGTTGTACACAATGGAACCTGTTGTAGAAAATATCGTATATTCTAGCCTTCGATAGATCTCTGTACTTTCTAATCTCTAGTTTCGACATACTTAAATTGAATATGAAAAGGCCCTAAACCAGTTTTTACCCACTGACTCTGAGTATTACAGAATTTAGCGTATTCTAGAGTACAAACAGTGTACACTGTACAGATAATAAAGATCGGACTTTTTTCGAAGTTACGAATAAATATCTACTGAGAACAGACATAACCTGTTTCTTCCCACAGTATAAAGGTAAATACATACTTAATTATAAATCAATAACTTACTTAGTGCTTAGATTGGTCATAAGCCATAAGTTTTTTTTTAAGAAAAGACGCGAGATGTTTTAACTCCTTTCAATATTTAAATGGGAAAAAATCCTATCCAACTTCCCCTAGAGTGGGGAAACTTTTAAAGATAAAGATTTTTTCTCTCCCAAAAAGGATAATTCATACTGTGCGCTGTCTCTTTATGTACAAATAGCTCTAGCTGCCCAGAGGGCGGCCCGGTACTTAAATACGGAGTTTACTGCTTTCTCTACCTGTGTGGACAGGGTGGCGACCTGCTGGGTCAACATCTCCTTCTCCTCCCTCGACAGCCGCGAGATCTGGTTAGATTTTATTCTCTCAGACATCAGCTTGAAGTTAGCATCATCCTTAAACAGAAATCTGATTAGTTTTTATCTGACATCAGCTTGAAGTTAGCATCATCCTTAAACAGAGATCTGAGGCATTTGAGCTGCGGCTTAAATTTTAGCCGCAGCTCATTTATGGTTGGTTCCACTTAAAATTGTTTTCATTTTATTCAAGATTTAAGCCGGCGCTCAATTGAAACTGGTTTTTGGGGGATTTGAGAGGCGGCTTTGATTCATTAAATTCAGACACTAATTAGATTTTAGCAGACAGCTTGAAGTAAACATCATCCTTAAAGGAATTGTGAATATAAATTCGAATTGTTAAATAAATATTAAACTGTTAAAACAATTATCTAAAATTTTCCGTCCCCGTATTAAAAACTAGCTTTATAAATTATGGCTACAGAAGGCTAATCTAATATTGAACATATATGATTAAAGATAACTTTTCTTTTAAATGTATGTTTTACAATTCCATGTTTTTCGCTTTAAAATGCAATTTAAACGATTTATTTTTTATACAAGATATTGTGCGTAGAAAAAAGTTTGAGCAAGGTAAAAATATATCATCCTACCTTTTCTCGAAGTTGTTGAATTAGTCTTGCATTTTGTTCCTGCATGTCCTCAAAAGCTTGACCAGTAACCTGAATCATATGAAATCAACTCCAATTTATCAAGTTAACTGTCAGGGCTGATAATTATTTACTATGGGCACAGTCAACATGCAAAGAATACAACTTCCCAAATGTGCAAATTTCAAAGCGGCAACTCCCCAAGTCTGTCCTAGCTGCAGCGCACGGATCCCAACCTCCAAATGTACACAATACAACTGTAATCTCAGAAATTTCTAAGTCTACTGTCTCTAAGTAACCATGGAACAAAGAAGATGAGTCCAGGATATGGTCCCAGGAGAGGATCGAAGTCCACCGGACATGGCCCTGTAAGAAGGAGTGAAGTCCACCGGATATGGTCCCAGGAGAGGATCGAAGTCCACCGGATCTGGTCCTGTAAGAAGGAGTGAAGTCCACCGGATGTATTCTCAGTACAATTGGAGAGAGGCTCGGCTTTAGAACATCGAGATAATAGCCCGCTTCTATAATTTTCGTCTTTTTTATCTATTTTATCTCTATCTTCTAATTTCCTTTTATGTCTCACATAGATCTGGGCGGCAATTTAAAGTTACATCAATTTTCATGACTGCTTTTTTGACTTAAAAATGACACAACACTTGGGCCTTTTATTTTACCTTGATAAATCACATAATATCATATTTGAATATAAACTTGTTAAGATTTTAACAAGTTTTTGACAAAATTTCCAACGATTTTTTCATGAGTACTTAAAATCTTTGAATCACTGTGGTATAATACGCAAGTCACTTTTAAAAAGAAACAATTCAAAATTATCAAATTTTAATATATACAAAATTATAAGTTGGACTGCAAGGAACTAGTTTCATCTAAACAATTACAAAGATTGTTAACCAAGGTCGGAACTTCCCTGGGCAGGACAGGATGGCCGGGCTGGTTTATTGACCGCAAACCAGTTCCAAATACGAAAAAGTGAAATCTATACAAAACCTAAACCTTACACACAGACAACTTGCAAAAAAAGTAGTCAAACCCTTCCTAAAATTTTCTACAATATTAATTTGAACTGAAATATAAAAATTAATTACCTCCATTTCTGTGAGGAGGGTTTCCTCCTCTTGCTTATGATTGGCAACCTGTCTCTTTAAGCTGTCAGCGCATTCTTCGAGCTGTTTAATTCGTCTAAATAAAATCAGAGATTTAAAATAATTATGTCTCCTCATCAAGTCGTTACTATGGATATCTTGCAAAATAATATTTTCTATAAAGCGTTTTATTTTTAAAAAAATCTATGGGAATATGTTTTTCGATTTTAATAACTGGCTTTATTGCCCACTTTTAAATGCATTATTATTATCATCTATTCTATTAACTTAATAAATATTTGTAGTTAGAAACGGAAGGTTATGGGAGGGAAAGGAGGGAAAGTATAAAGGAGGGTAAAGGGGGGTGGGTGAATAAAAGGGAGGTTGAAACCAAAACAAACCTTGTGCAAACCTTTTTGCATCATCATATAAAAAGTTTTCACTATTCTTTGGATTTAAGTGAAGCAGAGGGCCGGATACATGAGGATTGAGGAAGGGGGTAAGAATTAGGGTAAACATCAGAGGTGTGGGATGTGTGTATATGTGAGGGGGGAAGGGGGTATGGAGGAGAAATGTAAATACCTAGTTGCATCCTCATCTGCTAATCTCTTCTTCTCCTCCTTCTTTGTCTCAGATAGTTTCTTCATCTGTTGTTTCACCTCTTCCAGTTCAGTTCTAGAAATAGTAAAAGTAAATTTTCATAAATCCTAACCCCCCCCCCCCCACCTTAAAAAAGAAATTTCCATTTACCTAATTTTGCTATAATCTAATCTTTGACAAAAATTACGTCTTTAAAGACTTTATTTAAAAGCGACAACCAAATTAAACCTTCAGATCGACAGAATTAATTAGCTTCAGGTCGTCTATAAACTCTCTTAATTAGTGGGTTACCCTGAACATCCGCAAAAGATTAAATTATTTAAAAAAAAGAAAAGAAATAAGCATATGTATTGTATGTGAAACATTTATGAGCTGGATCCTGTATTGCAAACTAGTTGCATGTAAGTTGTAAAACCCAGTCATACGACAAAAATTATTTTTAAAATGTTGTAATTATAATGAAATATTAAATAATGGCCAAGGATGGGGAGAAATAAATCTTAGTACAGTACGAGGATATGGTCGAACCGGTACAAATTTAGTAAAACTTGCAAACTCCCTGACATTCTAAGAATCTTAAGCACTACAATTTAATGAGATAATGAAATTACCTGGCTCGCTTCTCTGCTCCCATAAGCTGAGCCTTATCCCTCATCTCCTTCGGGCAGGCCTTGTACATCTCCAGGAGTAGGCTCCTCTCATTCAACTCATTTTTACACTTTTTCAACTGGGTCTTCAACTCCTAGGGACAAGGTTGCAAACCAGTGCTTAGGATCCATTTTATTTTGATTCGGATCCGGATCATAGATACTCACAGGAAAAAATGGATCCGGATCTAGATCATGAACATTTCTTTAAGCTTTACTGAGTTTCTGAACAAAAGGAGAATTTTCAAATTATTTTTCAAATGTTTTAAAAAAATTTTATGCTTAAATTTGATGAATCATTCAGGAATAAGGAAATATAAATGAACTCTTTTGTTTAACAGTTCTGACATGGGTTTAAGAGCAAAACATTTTTTTTGTCGTCCTTGGTTGATTTTTTACCCCTTGGATCCGCATATTTTTTGCGGATCCGGATCCAGGAAGCCAAAATGTTGCAGATCCAACGGATCCGAATCCTAAGCACGGGTGTAAACGCTACGGCTGAAATCCTTTAATTAAAGAGTTTCATTCCAGGTGCCCGCTTCTATAATTTTCGTCTTTTTTATCTATTTTATCTCTATCTTCTAATTTCCTTTTATGTCTCACATAGATCTGGGCGGCAATTTAAAGTTACATCAATTTTCATGACTGCTTTTTTGACTTAAAAATGACACAACACTTGGGCCTTTTATTTTACCTTGATAAATCACATAATATCATATTTGAATATAAACTTGTTAAGATTTTAACAAGTTTTTGACAAAATTTCCAACGATTTTTTCATGAGTACTTAAAATCTTTGAATCACTGTGGTATAATACGCAAGTCACTTTTAAAAAGAAACAATTCAAAATTATTAAATTTCAATATATACAAAATTATATGGGTACCATTTGGAGTCATGCATGCCTCTCATCTTTCCTTTCAAATTTGTTTTAAAAACGATAAAAAACTGCCAACAGTGGTTTGAACCATTATTTTTCCTAGTACAGTCGGACCCATAAAAGCGCAGAGGAATAGGAAGACGACATTAAACATTATGGCAAATGGGTTTTAATCATAAACTTGTTAAATGAAAAGGGTCGGCGTACAGTGTACACCGAAGTAATGTTGTTTCGTGTTTTGGGGCTTTTTAAATAATAACTTTAACCTAACAGTCGTCTTATAATTCTCCCTGCATATCCAACGATCGTGAATGATCCGAATGGTTGGACGATGTTAGAAACATAAATTTAATTTCCTTACCTTGACGGATTCAATTTCCTTGGCGAGCTGCTTCTGTAATTGCTCCGTTCTTGCAGTATCAGCTTTCAACTAAAATAAACAAAATGTTAAAACTTTTAGAACCTAGACAATTAACATAATGAATAAATAAATAAGCATTGATCATGGAAAGATTCCCAATGTTGAATCCCCTGACCACCATCGTGATAATAGCTCAATACCTAGAATCCATTCAATCTGGAACTCCGGTATTTCTCCTTATCTAGGAAATTTATCCAAGGGTATGTAACCCAGACGCTCTACACCATCAACCTGTTGGTGTATGTTATCTGACATACAAATAGAGATGAGAAGCAATATCTTAGAAGAGATTATTCTTAGGAGACCATCTCCTGCCATCGCTCAAGAAGAGCTTCTATGGCTTTAGCTCTGTTCCATGTATTCTCTGGGTCAGCATTATCACCTCCAACCAGCTTACTTAATGTTACACTAGATGCGGGAGAATTGTTCCGCTGTGCTCTGTCAAAGTTCAGCCTTGAGCATTCTAGTAAGTTTAACACTGGGATCCTTGCACAGATCACCGCCACCCAAACGTGTTTGTGGTATGCGTGCTTCTCAATACCTTAAGATCTGTTAATCTACCGGATTCTCCACTAACAATGAATATTAGATGAATACCTTGACATCTGCTTATTTAAC